AGAATGTCATATAATTAAAATCATACAGTATGAAGCCTTTTCAGACTGGCTTATTTCACTTAGCATCTGTGTTTTTATCATCTGTGTTTTGGGGAGCTTGATAGCTCATTTCTCTTAATCGATGAAAAACATACCATTGTATTGATTGATGCACCACAGTTTATCCTTTCTTCTATTGATGAACATTTTGGTTGTTTCCAGTTTGGGGTGATTATGAATAAAGCTTATGTAACCATTTGTGTGCAGGTTTTCATGTGGACATAAGTTTCCAAATCCATTGGGTAAACCTAGGAGCATGATTGTGACTTGATCACTCGGTAAGGCGATTAAGAGTAGCATCCACTTTTATTTATTGTGATTACTGTTTTAGATTTACTTCTAACATCTTATTTTAGACTTCCCAAAAAACCAAAAACAACTTCCTTTGAGAGGTTCTTTAGACCTCACATAACATGAAAACTCAAACGGCAAATCTACGAGGGAAGGTAAGCTGACTTCTCAGGACAACCGTGTTCTCTTTTTTCCAACTAGCACCAGTTCCCCCTAACAATGAAGGCAGTCCTTTGGGATTCCAGTTTGCAGGGGGAATCCCATATTATGCAACCTAGGTACTCCCCAGGCTTGTCTCCTGTCACCCATACCCCACAAATTCATTCTGATAGAAGGTTAGTGTCACCAAGATTTGTTATGTGCCCCTTGGGAGAAAACAAGTTGAGGGCCCTGCCCCTTCACTTTCTGGAGTTTTGTTTTCACCTTGTTCCTAGCCTTTCAGAATTTTTCTTTTTCTTGTCAGCTCAGTGGGATATTTAAAAACATTAAAAATAAGTTTGAGTTGTTACTGGATGGGTTGTTCAGAGTATCTAGTCCTTCACACATTGGAAATGAAGTCCAAAGTTCTGGTTCGTGAAGTTGCTGAGAGGTGGTGGTGGTAGAGCAGAGGAGGGAACACAGTCTGTCTGCTCTTCTGTTTTGTCAAGTCATTTGACTGTGTGGAATAGAAAGCTGGAATGGCTGTTAGAAGTTGTTTTCTTTGACTGGTGACGGGCAGGTGGCTTTATCAGCAAATGAGTCATCTGCTACTAACTAACAGACACCAAGATGGAAGTTTGTCCTTTCCCAGTAACAGAAGTCCAGAGAGGGGGGTCCAGGGCTGGGTACAGCGGCCCCAGTGTCTTCAGAAGTACTACCCTCACTGCTTTGCCTCTACGAAGATGTCCTGTAGCCCAAGAAGGCTGCAATGACCTCTATACCTCTGAAGGGACTAGCCCCAAGGGGCACATGCCAGTTGTCTGTCCCTCTTAAAAATGTTGCCCAGAACTCCCAGCCCACTTCTGCCCAACTCTCTCTGTCCATCCACAGCTCAAGGGAGGTTGAGGACCTACCCTTTTAGCTGATTCTACTGTTGCTAGAGTAGAATTGGAGAATCTTGGACATTGGGTTGGCAACCTGCAGTCTCTGCCCCAGGACCCTAACGCTTTTGCTGCCTGAGGGCCTCCCTTCAAGAGAAGCTGAGAGGAAGATGAATGATTACAAGTCCTAAAGAATGTGGGAGGGAATGTGGTCAAAAGCAGAGGGGAGAATTAGACTTGGAGAGAAGACACATCTTCACTTGCAATTGAGCAGAACTGAAAGAGAAGTTGACGCTACCATGTAGGAAGGAGTTGGTGAGACTGGAAGCTGAAGCATGCAAGAGGCAAGATCACCCAAAGATCAGTGAGCAGAGTATGGGAGGCCTGGCCCATGTGCTGCGTGGGTGAGACAACATTGAGAACATGCGTGGAGAGCCGCTTGTTAGAAAGGTCGTACTCAGGAGTAATGCCTGGTGTCCGTAAGCTGGACAAAATCACTTTCATGGCAGCATGTTTCTAAAGTAGGCAACACAGTCAGAACACATTTGGCCTGTCAAACTTGAAAAATTCTTTGCAAAATTTGGGGTTGTTATATAAGACAGTTGAATTTAAAGCTGGAGGTAATGTCAAAAAAA